AAACGATTATTTGAGTAGTTTTAATCAATTATTCCAATAATTTTAAAAGATTTTTCGCAGAAATGATTAAAATATATAGTTTTTCCATTTAATCGATTATTCGAATCAAGCGATTGGACAATTTTAATCGATTATTTAAATTAGTTTTTTATATCAATCGATAATTTAAAATTTCTTATAATTTCAACAAATCTTAACTATTTTTGAAATGTTTTAACAATTATTACTATTCGAATAATATTATTCGGTTATTCGATTATTCGAATAATATTAATCGGTTATTTGATTATTCAAATAATATTAATCAGTTATTTGATTATTCAAATAATATTAATCGGTTATTCGATTTTTCTAATAATATTAATCGGTTATTCGAATAATTTTAATTATTCTTTTATAAATTACCAAAAAATTTTTCACGTAAACTTTATATTCATTTTTAATAGTAAAATATCAGGAGAAAATTTTGTATTTTAACCGATTAACCTAGTAATAGTGTACGATTATTCGATTATATATTATTCGCTATTAAAAACTAAATGAAAATAAAAGTTAATGAACAATTTTTTTATAATTTAAATTTTATTGTAACAATATCTGATTTATTGTAGTTCATGAATTTTTAATCGATTATTCGAATAATTTTAATCAATTATTCGAATAATTTTAATCGATTATTCGGAAAATTTTTTTTCAAATTTAAACAAAATTATCAAATCTGTTCAAAATAGAAGTTTATTACGAATTATTACTTTAATATTGTTCGATTAATCTTTGTTTTTTTCAAATCCGTTTGAGAACCGCTGTTTATTTTCAGTTACCAATCAATTTGACACCATATCTTTGACACATAAAAATGTATAGACAGTTGTTTTGTTGTTTTATTTATATTTAATTATAGATTAAGATTTTTTTATTTATTTAAACTTCACTACTACTAAAACATGACAGATGGATGGATTTAGTAAAACAAAACCTAATGTATTTTCATTTTTTTTTTTATAACAACAACAGATAATTTTTTTCATTTTACATTTAAACCGGGGTAAAAACCCTCATAATAGTTTAATTATGTTAATTATTAAACAAAAAGTTCAGAGAGGAAATTTTTTATTTTATTATAATTTTTTTAATTAGTTTCTAATTAAACAATTATTTATTGATTTTGTCAGAGATTTGTTTAGAAAAAAGAGTGACTCACTAGGGTAAAACGTATAAAATTGATTTTTTTAGCTAAAAATTTATTTTAGTTTTGTTAAACAGTGTAAATTTGCTAGATTATTTGTGTTATTTTAAAATATTTTTATCATTTTTTTATTAAGATTTTTTTAATTAAAATTATTTTTACTTGTTAAATTTCCTTTAATTTAAATAAAATTGTTTAAATTGTTAAGGAAGTCATAGATTTTTATTAATTATTTATGTAATTGCTCAATTAAATTTGGGTTTTTTTTTAATTATTTTCTTTAACCAAAATTACCTTTTTTTTAAATTCACAATTTTTGTGTTTTTTTAAAACATTTTTCTTTTTATTATTTCCTGTAATAAAGTTTCAATTAAAGCTTAAGATGTTATTTAAAATCACTTGAAATCACCCTTCACTTCACGTAAATTTTTTTTGTTTATTTTAATTTTTATAAAAAATATCTTGCAAATTTTCAAAACTTTTAAATTAATAGATTTTTGCAACAATTTAATCAAACAATTTCATGCTTAAACTTTTTAACAAAAATTTCCAGCTTTTTGTTTCACTTCACTTGATTTTTTTCCACAATTTCTCATTCATTCACCCAGTACTACCGCGTGCTTTTTATTTGTTGTGATTTTATTTTCGGCATACTAATAATAAATCGTATCTATTTGTGTGATTTTTTCCTAATTTCACCGCTTCAAGCGCGTTTTTTGTACTTAAAATTACGACACAACAACTTTACTACTCAAACGCATTCAGCAAACTAATAAAATACTATGAAAAAACCCCAAACAAAAGTCAAACAAAAACAAAAAAACAAACTTAAAGCTACTTTTAACAAAAAAATTTGTATCTGCTGCTTTTTGCTCTGCTTTGTTCTCGTAGATACTTTTTTCGATTGGATTGAAATTCATACATGTTTTTTATTGTTGTTGTTGTGTGTACAAAACCAAGGTATTGTTTCAATTTTGAGTTTGTGTTTGTTGTTGCTGCTGTTATGATTTTTTAGAATTCTCGTTGTTGTTGTTGTGTTATGTTGCTCTTTAAATACGATTTTTTTGTAAAATGTCAGAGCTTTAAGTGAGGGAATCTTTTTAAAAAAAAAAATATTTTTAAAATCCAAATTTTTCAACAAAATTAAACAATATTTTGTAAGTTTAATAAAATCATAAATATTCTTTCAAAATTATTCGATTAATCGATTAAAATTATTCGATTAAAAATTATTCGCTTAATCGATTAAAATTGTTCGAATAATCGTCATTCGATTAAACTATTAAAATTACTTGAATAATCGATTAAAAATCGAATCAAAATTTACAAGAATTCTTGATAAGTAGAGAAATATAAAAAATAATTGATTATAATTATTCAATTAATCGATTAAAAATTATTCGAATAATCGATTAAAATTAGTCGAATAATCGAATCAAAGTTTACAAGAATTCTTGATAAGTAGATCAATATAATAAACAATTACGTAAGTTAAATAAAATTATAAAATTTTCTTTTAAAATTATTCGATTAATCGATTAAAATTATTCGATTAATCCATTAAAATTATTCGATTAATCAATTAAAAATTATTCTATTCATCGATTATAATTATTCGATTATAATTATTCAATTATCGATTAAAAATTATTCGAATAATCAATTAAAATTATTCGAATAATCGATTCAAAGTGTTCAAAAATTCTTGATAAATAGAAAAGTATAAAAAATCAATATTTCGTAAGTTTAATAAAATTATAAAATTTTCTTTAAAAATTATTCTATTAATCGATTAAAATTATTCGATTAATCGTTTAAAATTATTCGGTTAATCAATTAAAAATTATTCGATTAATCGATCATAATTAATCGATTATAATTAGTCAATTAATCGATTAAAAATGATTCAAATAATCGATTAAAATTATTCGAATAATCGATTCAAAGTGTTCAAGAATTCTTGATAAGTAGATAAATATAAAAATATCAATATTTCGTAAATTAAAGAAAATTATAAAATTTTATTTTAAAATTATTCGATTAATCGATTAAAATTATTCGATTATTCGATTAAAATTATTCGATTAATCGATTAAAAACTATTCGACTAATCGATTAAAAATTATTCGATTAATCGATTATGATTATTCAATTACTCCAGTAAAAATTATTCGAATAATCGATTAAAATTATTCGAATAATCGATTAAAATTTTTCAAGAATTCTTAATGAATAGTGAAATATAAAAAAATCAATATTTCGTAAATTAAATAAAATTATAAAATTTTCTTTTAAAATTATTTGATTAATCGATTAAAATTTATTCAATTAATCAATTAAAAATTATTCGATTAATCGATTAAAATTATTCGATTAATCGATTACAATTATTCTATTATAATTATCCAATTAATCGATTAAAAATTATTCGAATAATCGATTAAAATTATTCGAATAATCGATTCAAAGTGTTCAAGAATTCTTGATAAGTAGAGAAATATAAAAAATCAATATTTCGTAAGTTAAATAATGTTATAAAATTTTCTTTTAAAATTATTCGATTAATCGATTAAAATTATTCGAATAATCGTTTAAAATTATTTCAATCGATTCATATTATTTAAATAATCGATTATATAATCTATAAAAATTATTCGAATAATCGTTTGAAAATGTTTGAAAAATTTCGTTAACGTTTTCAAAAAATAAATAAACGAGTAAATTTGTTCATTAAAATCAACAGAAAAAAATCTATTTTAAAAAATTATTTAAAAAAAAAAATCGCTTAAAATTATTCGATTAACTTTAAGCAAAATCTGGATAAAGAGAATAATATTCGAATAATTAATTAAAATTGTCCAACAGGTTAAAATAAATCTTTATATAAATAAATAATATGCTAAATTTCGAACATAAATCGATTAAAATAAATCGGCTAATCGATTGAATTTATCTAAATAATCGATTGTAATTCGAATAATTTAAATTATTCTATTAATCGTTAAGAATTATTCGTTAAACTATTGTAATTTTTTCTAAATAAAAATTATTAAAATAAACTATTAATCTTAAGTTATTATTCGATTAATAAACAAACAATTTAGAAATTCGTCTATTAAACGATTAAAATATACAGTTTAATCGATTAAATATACCCGATAAATAGATTAAAAACCAACTATTTTACATTACTTGCTTTATCGATACACAAATTAACCAATTATTTGATTGAAAATATTATAACTGAACGAATTTTTTCGATTAATCGATTAAAATTATTCGAATAATCGATTAGAATTATCCGAATAATCGGTTAAGAATTTATGAAAAATCTCTTTAAATCGAAAAACAAACAATCTAGAAATTTGTCAATTAATCGACTAATATATTTCGGTTAATCGAATAAATTTACCCAATTATTCGATTAGAAACCGACTATTTAATTTACATTATTCGTTCAGCTGATACATATAAAACAATAATTAGGTTGAATTTTTTTATAAATTAACGAGTTTTTCGAATAATCGATTAAAATTATTCGAATAATCGATTTAAATTATTCGAATAATCGATTTAAATTATTCGAATAATCGATTAGATTTATCCGATTAATCAATTTAAAATATTTTTAAAAAATCGTTCAATAGAAAAATGATCCAATTAATCGACTAAATTTACCCGATTAATCGACTAAAACTCCAATACTTTAAATTATTTGATCAATAGATAAAATCCGATAAATTAATGTAATTTTATAAATTAAAGTGTTTTTCGATTAATCGATTAAAATTATTCGAATAATCGATTAAATTTAAGTGAATAATTGAATAAGAACTTATCAAAATTTTCTTTAAATTGATTAAATTTACCCAGTTATTAGATACGTTGAGTCGAATACGTTTACTTACTAATCAATGCATATAACCCGGTTAAATTTATCCGAATAAAAGATTAACAACCGACTACTTTACATTATTCGATCAATACAAATTAAACAATTATTTAGTTGAATTTTTAAAAAATGTTTGTTTTTGATTAATCGATTAAAATTATTCGAATAATCGATTGAAATTAATCGATTAAAAATTTAAGTGGTTTTCAGTAAAAAATTGATTTTTCACTAAAATATCTAAGACTGTTCCTTTGTATTTGGTTTGATAGGAATGATGTTCCCGCTAGTATGATATTTTAGATAATTGTCCTCTGCCTAATCGCCCCCTGACTCGCTTTTTTAGTAATTTACTTACTGATTTAATAAGAAATTTTGTTAAAATTTTGAAACTTACCTGAAAATAAAAAAAAAGAAAATCATTAGATATTGAAAATTATTGATTAAATTTCTATCTAATTAAAAAAAATATATCAACAAGAAATTTTAAACAATTTTTTAACTTTTCACTCTTTAACATCCCTGCCTAAATCTGTAAATAACATGGTGTGTAGTTTTATAACTTGGTAAAGCGTGTGTGTTAATAAATCACCCCGTGTTTTTGTTTATAAAAATTATAGTTTTGTTTTTTTTTTTTATTTTTTGCTCATAATCTTGTTCTTTAGCTCTTTCTCTTCCATTACCCTTTTCCGAATTTAAGAACCAGAAAAACAAAGAACCAATTATAACATTTTACCACTATTTTGTATGGAACTCAGAAAAAGCATCTTTAAGAACCAAAAAATCACACATGTAGTATCTAGATACTTAAACTTGCACATGTGTTATTTGTTGTTATTATTTAAATAAATTCTCTTGGTTTTTTTAGGGTTCTCTCTCGAAACCTGTTTACTTTTCTTTGATTGCAAATGGCTGAATATAGTTCTCAATATATTTGCTGAATAGTAATTGAGAGTGTGTTTGTAATCATTTTTGTATCTGTGTTTTTATTTGGATTGTATTTTGTGGATGCATATGTTTAGAGGGCATTGCCAGATTTAAATGTTTAATTTTAAACATTTGTTGGTTACAATTTAAAATAATACCAAGACTATAGAATAGACTATAGACCAGACTATAGACTAGACTATAGACTTCACTATATACTATAGACTAGACTATAGACTAGACTATAGACTAGACTATAGACTAGACTATAGACTAGACTATAGACTAGACTATAGACTAGACTATAGACAGACTATAGAATAGACTAGACCATAGAATAGACTAGACTATAGAATAGACTAGACCAGCGGTTCCCACCGTTTTTTACTTCGCGGACCCCTTGAGGAATTTATTTAATTTCACGGACCCCCATACATATTTTGATATCTTATTGTTATAAATAACACTGTGATACAAAAGTGAAGAAAAATAAAATGCAGGCGTTCTCATATACCAATTCTATTTCGTTATAGTCCATAGAGTACGAATATATTTTTAGTTTTCCCCTATCACTTCGTTAACTTACTTTTTAAGAGCAAAAGATGCAAAAAAGAGCCATTTTTGAAGTTTTAAATTTGAAAAATCATAAGTTTAGTAGTTTTCATCCGATTTTTAAATCCGATATTTTTTTAATGATACAAGTGTCTTTTAATCAAAAAAAAGAAATCCAAAATTTATGGTCAAATGTCTGAGTTACGGTCGTTTAAGTAAAAAAATTCACACTTTTTTAAAAAATTTTCATTTTCATCATGCTCTACTTTGACCATGAGGCAGTGAGTTCATCTTTTATTACTTTCCTGAAGAATCACATAAAGGAAGGTTTCTAAAACTTGTTATTTCATAAAAATCTATGAAAAACTGGATGATTTATGCCAATTTTTCTAATAGCATGTTTCTCGAATTTTTGGTTTTCTCCATACAAATTAATTTTTGTATAAAAATGTTTATAAACATTTTTTAAACTTGTTACAAAGAAAAGCAGAAACATGAACGTTTTTGTATGGAAGAAATATGCTATATTTTTATAAAACTTAGCACAACTCATAACCTTTTTCATCGATTATCATAAATTGATCATCATTGGAAACCCAACTTAATGTGCCTTTTTTCAAATGTAATAAAAGCTAAAGTTACTGCTTCATGGCCAACGTAGAGCAGTATGAAAATTAAAAATTGTGAAAAAAGTGTGAGTTTTTTTACTTAAATGGCCGTAACCAAGACATTAATCATAAATTTTGGATTTATTTTTTTGGGTTGAAAGACAACACTTGTATCTTTAAAACAAAATATCCAATTTGAAAATCGGTTGCAAACTACCAAACATATATTTTTTTAAAGTTAAAACTTCAAAAATTGCTCTTTATCACAACTTTTGCTCTTAAAAAGGAATTAAACGAAGTGATCGGGAAAAATTAAAAATAAATTCCTACTCTATGGACTATAACGAAATAAAATTGGTATATGAGAACCCCTGCATTTTTTTGCTGTATCACTGTGTAATTGTTCGTCCGAAAATTGTCTTAGTCCTGCTCCATAAACCCTATAAAATATTCCCGTACATTGAGAACATTTAGTATTTCGGAGATGTTTTCAATTTCATAGTTTTAAATATAGAATGACTTCTAACATGATGTTTAATTTTATGATCGTGAGAGCTTTCATGTTCATTTCTCGTCAAGGTAGAGAAAAGGTTTCTTTAACAAGTATTGTCGACATGTGCTTAAAGAGTCATGTTTCTAAATTTTTTTGCGATTGCATAGGAGTGGGCTGAGTATGTAAGCTAAGTTTTCAGGAAAATATGTGAAAGTTAGACTTCTTCGATGTTGTTGCGGAATGCGTTACCCACATAAAATATGATCTGAACTCTTTGCGAATGTACTGTGAATTTGGATCTTAAATTTGAATTTTAAAATACCTACGAATTATTTTACTGTGTGGTTTTGACTATTTACGCAAAACGCTATGAATTTTCTGATGTAGATTTAATAATATTGGACAACAAAATGAAGTTAAAATCTGTGTATCACGTTGGAATGGAATATTTATATTTAAAATTAACTAGATTAACACTTTTGCTTACAATTTAAAAAAATATTATGAAATGTGACCTAACTTCATATTCCGGGATACCAGTATTAGTATTTAATTCTAAGGCAAATTATTATCCGTCTGCTATAAAAACATTTATTTCGATACATATATATTTATAAAAATTACAAATCACGTAATACTTTACGTTATAAAAGTGAAACAATAAATTTGTAGGGCCTAGCTTCATCCTGATAAACGACCGAAACAATAAAATTCAAAGAGTCACCAACAAATCTGGGATTATTGAATAAAAATTGTGCATTTTAGTATTTATGAAAAATTTGGAGATATTTTTAATATTTTGTAACATATAGAGAATATTTTTTATTCATGATTTTTTTCGTTCGTCTTCGCGGACCCCCTAGGATTTTGCTACGGACCACTAGGGGTCCGCGGACCCCCTTTTGGGAACCGTTGGACTAGACTATAGAATAGACTAGACTATAGAACAGACTAGACTATAGAATAGACTAGCCTATAGACTAGACTATAGACTATAGACAAGACTTTTGACTAGACTATAGACTAGACTATAGACTAGACTATAGACTAGACTATAGACTAGACTATAGACTAGACTAGACTAGACTATAGACTAGACTATAGACTAGACTATAGACTACACTATAGACTAGACTATAGACTAGACTATAGACTAGACTATAGACTAGACTATAGACTAGACTATAGACTAGACTATAGACTAGACTATAGACTAGACTATAGACTAGACTATAGACTAGACTATAGACTAGACTATAGACTAGACTATAGACTAGACTATAGACTAGACTATAGACTAGACTATAGACTAGACTATAGACTAGACTATAGACTAGACTATAGACTAGACTATAGACTAGACGATAGACTAGACTATAGACTAGACTATAGACTAGACTATAGACTAGAAACTATAGACTAGACTATAGACTAGACTATAGACTAGACTATAGACTAGACTATAGACTAGACTATAGACTAGACTAGACTAGACTATAGACTATCTATAGACTAGACTATAGACTAGACTAGACTATAGACTAGACTATAGACTAGACTATAGACTAGACTATAGACTAGACTATAGACTAGATATAGACTAGACTATAGACTAGACTATAGACTAGACTATGACTAGACTATAGACTAGACTATAGACTAGACTATCAGACTAGACTATAGACTAGACTATAGACTAGACTATAGACTAGACTATAGACTAGACTATAGACTAGACTATAGACTAGACTATAGACTAGACTATAGACTAGACTATAGACTAGACTATAGACTAGACTATAGACTAGACTATAGACTAGACTATAGACTAGACTATAGACTAGACTATAGACTAGACTATAGACTAGACTATAGACTAGACTATAGACTATACTATAGACTAGACTATAGACTAGACTATAGACTAGACTATAGACTAGACTATAGACTAGACTATAGACTAGACTATAGACTAGACTATAGACTAGACTATAGACTAGACTATAGACTAGACTATAGACTAGACTATAGACTAGACTATAGACTAGACTATAGACTAGACTATAGACTAGACTATAGACTAGACTATAGACTAGACTATAGACTAGACTATAGACTAGACTATAGACTAGACTATAGACTAGACTATAGACTAGACTATAGACTAGACTATAGACTAGACTATAGACTAGACTATAGACTAGACTATAGACTAGACTATAGACTAGACTATAGACTAGACTATAGACTAGACTATAGACTAGACTATAGACTAGACTATAGACTGACTATAGACTAGACTATAGACTAGACTATAGACTAGACTATAGACTAGACTAAGACTAGACTATAGACTAGACTATAGACTAGACTATAGACTAGACTATAGACTAGACTAGACTAGACTATAGACTAGACTATAGACTAGACTATAGACTAGACGATAGACTAGACTATAGACTAGACTATAGACTAGACTAGACTATAGCCTAGACTATAGACTAGACTATAGACTAGACTAGACTATAGACTAGACTTTAACAAATTCCTAGCACTTTTTGTAAATGATCGCAGGTGTAAAGATTGTGAGAGACAAACATTAGCTTCTCCCTTTAAAGTTAAGAATTCTTATAAAGCTATTATAAGACGATCACTTATTTTTTGTCAAACCATTAAAACTTTAAAATAAGCATTACCATAAACTATTTGCTCGACCTTTAAGATCAATTAATTTAACTTAACACTCCCTTTCTCCTTAATTTTTCACACTTTGAACAAAGTTTCTTGAAAGCAAAAGACAACCTAAAACAATTTATG